ATTGGCTCAATATCCTGGAAAACATTTTCCAGGGAAGCCGTGGCTGCCCCATCCCTGCAAGTGTCCAAGGCCAGGTTGGATAAACTTGGAGCAACCTGGGCTAGTGGAAGATGCGCCTGCACATGGCAGGGGGTGGAACTGGATGGTCTTTAAGGTCCTTCCAACCCAAGCCGTTCCATGACCCTTTGCCCTGTCACCCCTGTGCACCTTTTACAACAAAACCCACCCAGTTCATTCAGCAACAGCAAATCAAAAAATTTTGCATAACGACGATCTATTAACCAAACTATTCGTTAAATGGTTTTTGATTAGCAACTTAAAGACTATTAAATTTTTAAACAAAGCCCCATCATTCCATTAGCAATCATTTAAAGTGCTTAAGTAGGTGTTTGTGGATTAATGGTTTTAAATGAAGCCTCTAAACACGATTTCCAGCCAGGATGGAGCAGAGCAAAAAAAATAAAATTAAAAAAAAATGCTCTAAGTTTCTAAATGCCAGTAAAAAAACATCAGAGTTTTCTCATCTGAGAAGAAGATGATACCTTACAATTCATGGAACACGCCAACACGTGATTCACCTCACCCCCACAGCTACTGCTTCATTTCACAACACGAGAGAAAAGACATCAAACAACCCTAATCTGAGTGAACACCATTTCCACGCCGTTCCCACAATTAAGGTCAGAATTTGTCAGGGCTCAGGACACCAAATTTTTTTCTGTATGATGTTTGGTGATGAGGCAGCACCACACTTGTGGATTTAAGTGCGTCTTCAGTACCATCTCATCTTCCCACTGGGATGGGGAAACCAGCACATCCCTGGAATTAGAGGTGAGTGGTCTCACTGCTCACAGGAGATTCCCTAAGGAATCACATCACTCAGAACCAAGGCTTCTTGAGATGTCAAGCAAGTTTAATGGCATTTTAAAAGGAGCAGATGACTTCAAAGTCTGCCCTCAAACTTGACACCCTAAAAGTAGAGAGACAACAATCCCTGTGGTCTAAGCTGAGAGGTTCATTCCAGGTGGAGAAGGGAAGCTCCAAAAGAAATGAGGGGATGTTAAAGGATTGGCATGTGCATTTTTGAGCTCTTTGGTCCATCCACACCTCCCTCTCAAGGAAGAGCAGGGGATGGATTAGCACCTCCTGGAATCCCCGTGCAGGGAAAGCTGAACTGTGAGAGGGACGAACATCCCGAGACAAACTCCTCGCTGCCCTCGGCACCAATTCAGGAAGGAAACCCCCTTCTCCCAGCTCCTCCTGATCCATTTACACACTTCCGGCCTTCTTAACCTCAGGTATTCGAAAGAGGGACATTTTAAAAGGCAAAAAAAGCAACAAAAAAATCCATGTGCCACTACTGCAGTTCACTTTTGGGATCCCATTTACAGGTCTCTGCATATTGGCACCTCCATGAGCTGAGCTCTGGCAGCAACACTCTGCACACACAGGGAAGGTTCATTCCCATTTTCCCCGTTTTCCTGGTCTCTTGTTCGAAAAGGGAGGGAAAATTTCCAATTCATGAAAGCACTGAGAGGTGAGAAGATGTGCTTTGCTAATTCTAAAGCCCTGTTTCTCGTTATTCCCAAATATTGTGACTACAGGCTTGGATCCATCACGCACACTTTGATGGGGTAAATAATGAAAGAACATACAAGCCTCTAATTTTACACTGCCTTCAATTCCCATTTCCAAAGCCAGCTAGAAAACAGGAATAGAAACTAAACCAGTAAAAAAGAAACACGCCCTTCTCCATTTCTAACTTGGAGAACCTAAGCATTAAAAAATAAATAAATAAATAAATAAATAAATCAAAATAAACTCTTATACAGCTTTATATTTGCTCAGATAAGCATTTTCAACAGAAATGTCAAAACTACTTCTAGGTACAGGGCACTGGGGTCAGTGTAGGACATGCCTTTGGAGAACAAAATGTTTTAATGATTTACAACCAACGAGCAGCCCCCCCAGCAGGAAAAATAACCAAGCACTCAACTGCAAAACAATATTTTAATTGTCAGCTTTAATTTAGGTTTCCTACTGGGATTTAAATAATTTTTCTTTTTTTTTTTTTGGGCCAAATTGCATTGATTTAACTCAATCAGCCCTGCCCGAAGGCCATCTTTCCTGCAAGCTCTGAGCATACCAAGCAAGTTTTAGCCAATTAGATAAATCACTGAATCTCATAACTTCCTAACAGCAATATATCAAGCCACGCACGAGCCATAATTAATTTTTTTTTACATACATATTGTCTTGAAAACTTCGTGAAAATTAAGCAGCTCAGGAGGCATTTCACCATCCTTTATGTCGGGGATTTTTTTTTTTTTATTATTTTTTTTTTAACCTAAGGCACATGATGGCCTGAAACCCAGCCAGCTGAATTCTGCAGAAGACTTGCACGGTCACTGCAAATCCACCCCTGCTTATTATTCCTTCTGATGATGGGGATGACACTGATGCATCAGTTTTTATTCATTTATATATGTGTGCAGATATATATATATATGTGTGTACACCCACACCCACACCCTGCAGCCTTAAGGTGTTACACTCATGAGCACAGTTAAGGAAAACCAGGCAGCAATATTACGGACTCAGCAGGAGCAGCAGCAAAATCCTGAAAAATGGAAGTTTCTAGCACAAACAGCTTCACAGGGACCCTCGGCACAGTCCCCGTTTACCACCAGTGGAAATATGCTCTTCTCTGACACTACACAGATTGCTGAAAGATTCCCATGACAGGCAGAGGATTAAAAAGCAATTCCCTGGCTCTCGCATTTCACATGCAGAGCCGTATTTCAGAACGGCAGGCAGGAAAATACGGATCTCTCCGAACTCAGAAACGTGTGTATTCCGTAAAAAATAATAATAAAAAAAAGAAATTAAAAAAAGCCCTGGCTGTGGTACCTTAAAACGGCAATACCAAAGCAGGAACTACCCCATAGGGAGGAGGAACAGCACTGCAAACCCGATCCAGCATTGTATTACGAAAAAGCCCTGCAAATTCCAGGCAATCTGCAAATGATTTCCCCCCCCCTTCCCCACCCAAACATCCACCGCAAACTCCTACAATATCGCGAGTCAGGACTGCAGTGGCCAAAAAGGGATGGAAATAAAACCGTTCCTACCTTTAACTTGGGTGTCATACTCAGCTATGATCTCCTTATCCTTTTTGAATTTTGCTGGCGACGTCATGTTTTCTTTTCCGAAAAAAAAAAAAAAAAAAACCGCTTAACCTCCAAAGAGATCCCCCAGAACACGAGATGATAATAAAGGCAATTTCGCTCCTCTCAACAGATTGCCTCGGTTTTCCGCTCGTCCTTCCCCCCCCACTTCCCCGACCCCCAAAAAAAGGGGGGAAAAAAAAAACGATCAAAAAAATCAGTCCATGGAGAGAGGGTGTGAGAGGGAGCACAGCAGCAGGAAAATGCAGATGTTGAGATCAGCGGATGGAAGAGGCAGCAGTTTTGTCTCCCTGCACCAAACCCTTGAGCAGCAGCATCAGCCTAGTGAGATCCTGCAGCCCCCAAAGGCTCTTCCTGATCCTTAACAGCACAGCCAGGGAGTGGAAGTCCTTCCGCACAACATGTTTTGTGTGGGTTTGGTTTGCCTTTTCTCTCTCTTTTTATTTATTTATTTATATTTTTTTTCCCCCCCTAATGAGCTCGGAGATGATGCAAATCAAATCCCAACCGAGAGCAGAAGCGGAGGACAAGAAGCTTTTTTTTTCCCTTTGGTTTGCTCGCCTGCAAAAGCAAAATAAAACAAAAATAAACAAATAAATAAATATATATATATTTTTTAAAAAAAATTACAGCCTGCAGACGAAATTTGTGATGGGAAGAAACGCTGCCCTGCCACCCTGACATTGCAAATCGTCCTCTGAGCAGCAGCAGGAGCAGGGCAGGAGCTCGGGGCTCCAACCGCAGCCCCGCCAGGTGACCCAGGGCACACACCCAGCCCGGGGGCTGCTCCGGGGAGGGGGTCCCAGGGGACACGGCGGGGATCAGGGGATGGTTTGGGGAGAGGGGGCTCCTGGGGGTGCAGAGGCTGTGGTTTGGGGTGCAGGTCCCGGGAGAACGGGGGGTGGTTTAGGGAGCGAGGGCTCCCTAAAGGGGGGTGGGTCCCCCTTTGGGAAGCGGGTCCCGAGGGGGCGAGTGGGAGCTCCCTGGGGGAGCAGGGGCTGGGTCGGGGGTGCGGGGGCTCCTCTGGGGACCCGGGGGCTGGTTTGGGAAGCGGGGGCTATTTGGGGAGCAAGTCCCCCTTTGGGAAGCGGGAGCTGGCTTGGGGTGCAGGTACCGGGACAGCGGGGACGCCTTTGGGGTGAGAGTACCCCTTGGGAAGCGGGTCCCGGGGGGCTCCTTTGGGAGCGCGTCCCGGGAAGCGGGGACTCCTTGGGGGTCCCCCGGGACGCGGCTCCCGGGGGTGCGGGAGGCGGGCGGGACCCGCAGCATCGCCCGCCCCGCCCCGGCGGAGCCCCCGCACACCGGGCGGCTCCACCCGCAGCTTCTCCCTCCGCTTTTCTATCTGGGGAGGGGAGTAATTGGGGTTTTCCAGCGCGGGACACAACTTTTCCCTCTTCCTTTTTTGGTTTTTTTTTTAAATTTATATTCCCCCCTCCTCTTTTTTTTGGTTTTTTTTTTGGGGGTGGGGAGGAGGGAGGGCGTGAGCCCTCCGCGGAAGATGCGCGTACGGGGAGGAAGAAATAAATAAACACACGGCACCCGCCGGATCCGCATCCCGCCCGGGAAGAACAATGAGAGCGGCGGGAGAGAGGAAACGTGGGGGTCCCGGGCGGCGGACGGGGGAAGGAGGAGGAGGTCGGGGTTGGGGGTTCGCGGAAGCAGTGGGGGCTGCCCGCTGCTCGCCAACCCACCGGGGGGCTGGCAGAGGGGGACCGGGGGTCGGGCGGCCGGGCGGGGCAGTTACCTGGGCGCTGCGGAGCCGCCTCCCGCAGCCGGGGCGTCCTCCGGCCGCTGAGCGCCCGCCGCCCGGGCCCCCGCACCGGCCAGCCAGCGCCCCGCCCCCGCCGCGCCCCACCCAATCGGCGCGCCGCGCTGGGCATGAGCGACGCGCGCTCTCACCAATCAAATATCTCCGCCTCCCAGATAGCCCCGCCCCCTCTTCCCGCCCCGCCGGAGGCCCCGCCCCGAGGAGTAGTAAGGGCGGGGCGCGCTGTGAGGAGTGACAGGCGGCGTGACCAATAGAAATGAGGCACGGCGCGCAGTCCCGCCAATAGCCGCGCGGCGGGGGCGGAGCCACGCGGGTTTTCCTCAATGGGGGTGGGCGTGGCCTGCAGTGACCAATGGGAGGGCGAGGCCGGGAATTCAAACTGACAGGTGGGAGCGTGGCCGTTGGGGGCGCCGGCACCGGGATCGATACCGGGACATCGGGACATCGGGACATCGGGACATCGGGACATCGGGGCAGGCATCCCACCCGCCATGGCCTCCAGCGGCTGCACGTTCGAGGACCGCAGCGTGGCCGTGCTGTGCTGCCGGTTCTGCCGGCAGGTGCTGAGCTCCCGCGGGATGCGGGCGGTGCTGCTGGCCGACACCGACACCGACCTCTACTCCACCGACATCCCGCCCTCCGGGTAAGCGCCGGGCACGGGGGGAGGTCCCACGGGGTCCCTCCGGAGAGGGGTCGGTGCTGGCAGTGCCAGGGTTCAGCCTGACCCGGCTAAGCGGGGCTGCAGGAGCATCACCGTGGCTCCGGCACTTAAAAACCCGCTGTCGCCAGCAAAGCAGCCCCACAGGAGGCAGTTCAGCCCACCCCTCTATTTCCACTCCCACCCGGCTCTGCTTCAGCCCTGGAGAAACCATGGGATGGCAAGAGCAAGGCTGTCCCCACCCCTCCCCTTCCTCCCTCCCTCCCTCCCCAAATTTAATCCATTCAGGGGGATGACACAGTCTCAGGAGCTCCTCCAGCTCCTTGCAGAAGCAGAGATTAGAATTTGAAATAAAGGCCTGCAAACAGAACAAACCTGATCTGTCACTGCTCCCAGAAGGGCTCTCCCCCAAAGTCGGTTTGTGTGCTCCTTTCCCAGAGCAAGATTTGAATACTAAGGAAATCAGGTTGTGAAATGGCATGGTAATCAGAAAGTATGGGTTGAAAAGGAGATAAGAAATCAAAGGTTTGGTTTTAAATGTCCCAGCCTTTGAGGGATTGCTCTGTATCTCCGCTGGGATTTGCCAGGAGCTGGGGTGATGTTTGTAACCAGGTTTCTGACTGTCAGTGCCACACAGCCCCAGCCTGCAAGTCTCTACCAAGACAAACTCTGCTTTCTGAGCTATTTTGAGAGGACTTGTGATATTAAAGCAGTGTCACGTGGGTCTCTTCTTGTTTCCATATGAGTGTGGCTGGTAGCTGGTAGGAAAATGTGTGAGCACTTTTAAAACCAGACTGTGACCAGTAGCAGCATCACTGGGTTGTGACTTCAGACCTGTGTTGTGATCACAGCCACATCTAAACTCCTGTGTTTCTCCTTCCTTCCCAACCAGGACTGTTGATTTCATAGGAAGCTGCTATTTCACCGAAATCTGCAAGTGTAAACTGAAGAACATCGCGTGTTTGAAGTGGTGAGAGCACAGTCCATGACATTGGCACCCCAAAACACTGCCCAACCTCCCCCCTGCCGACTCCTGCAGTGCAAGAGTTAAGGGATGAATGAACAGATTGCATTCTCTGTCGCAGATTTAATGCTGCTTGATAGAAACTCAACCCACCACTCCTGGGCATGGCTGCCACTCTATTTTCTGTGCAAGTCCCCAGTGAAAATGTGACAACCTTGTCAGGAGTCTGAGTCTATGGGAAAGCTTGTGTGCCACCTGCCTGATTAAATGTCTGCTTCAACACTGAGATGACTGTGTGAATAAGGCCCCAGCAAGAAGCAGTTACTCATATTCTAATTAATAGAACATCCTCTTGGCAGATCGAGTTGTTGAGAGCAGATGGAACACGCTGTCGCTAAAAGTTCTTGGAGTTCTTTTATCCTCCTTATTAGTGCCTGATATTTAAGAGTGAAAACAACAACTCTCAAATAGCTCACAGTCATTTGAGATGATCCCTCCAGCTTCCTGATCAAGACTTCTATCTTGTTCAGATTTAATCGGTGTGGGGGGGGTGATAGAAACACAACATTTTAGTTTTCGGAGAGAAGCAGAGACACAGAAATATCTCACCAGAGCACATGAAAGTAGGAAAATGGTTGTTCTGGGTTTCAGTTGAGGTAAGTTGATAAGGCTTCAATATTCTGGCACAGGCTGCCCAGAGAATCTGCTGCTGCCACACCCCTGGAAGTGTCCAAGGCCAGGTTGGATAAACTTGGGGCAACCTGGGCTTGTGAAAGATGTCCCTGCCCATGGCAGGGGTGCAATTGGATCGTCTTTAAGGTCCCTTCCAACCAAGCCATTCCATGATTCTCAGTCTCATTATTCCTATCACTGATTCTCTCCTGTGCACGGGGCTTCTGCACAGGTGGGTTTTGTGTGTGATGAAACTTCTGTGCTGATTCCAATGGAATCACAGGCCTTCCAAAAAAAAAAAAAACACACACCAGCATCTGTTGGTATACAAACTAATCTGGATTACACAATTTAGATTACTAGTGGTTCTCTATGCCAAAGATCTGAAACTCAGATATTCTGTAACTCCTGACAGATGTTCCCTAAATATTTAAGATACTTGTTTAACAACGTTCCCTTAACTTAATCAAAACAGGAGCATTACATAATGGTCTGGTACCGTGGCTATTTAACATCAGTTTGGGCTGGAAAAAGCCACCAACATCTGTCTTTTCATCAGCCACTTGTGTTGCTCACCATTTCACTTGCCTTTCCAGTGGGAACGTTGTTGGTTACCACGTGATTTGTCCCTGCAAACCCTGCCTGTTATCCTGCAACAACGGCCACCTCTGGATGTTCCACAGCCAAGCAGTCATTGGCATCAACAGGCTCGACCCTTCTGGTAAAGAACCCACTTGTTTCCTTCCTTTCCCTTCCCTAAAATCCTGAGCCTAAGGAGGCAGCTCGATATAGTTAAAGCATATGGAGGGAGGGTGACATATGGAGGCACAGGGAGGTGTTACTGCACTGCTAATCTGGAAAACTGCTTGGGGTGGGGGGCGGGAGGAAGGGTGGCTGTAGCTGCAAATGAAAATCTGAGTGTAAATTGATCTCCACCAGAAGACTTAAACTCAACCGTCCCCTCCTGTGGACGCCAGTGGAGGGGGGGTTTCTGCAGTGCTGCTAAAACCAGCACAAACACAGCTATTTATAGGGGCATGGATGGCTTCACGGGGCCCTCAGGCAGCTGGCCAAGGGACACTCTTCTTTTTTGGGTGAGTCATGTTGTCACTCTGACCCTCGCCGGCTGAATCCTCAGCAGCTGGAGCTGCAGCTTCTTCAGCTGGGGGCTGGTGGGATGCCAAGAGTCTGGCGGGGTTGGGAGTCCTCAGGAACCCACAGCCCTCTGGCAAATCACTCCTGCTCCTCACAGAGGGGATGAACTCGCTGCCCAAACCTCTCAGGGTCACCTGTGCCTCTCTTTTTAAACCAAACCAGCCAGGAGGGGGTCATCAATAGCTGCATGAATTAGTTACAGAAACACTTCAGCGGGTTTGTTCTTTGAATTGTGATGTAAACAACACCAACACTCCCAAGATCACTCGGAAGACAAACAGAAAATAGACATATTTATCAGGAACGTGACTTAACGGGTTTTGCAAGGATTATTGTCTCTCAAAATAGACAGTAGCGAAATTTAAAATTAAGCTCACAATCCAAAAATATCTTTTTTTATCCCCCCCTCCTTTGTCTCCTTACCTCCTTCCCACCAGGTGTGAACGTGTTGCTCTGGGGCAACTTGCCAGATTTGGAGGAAAGCACAGATGAAGATCCATCCTGTACCTCTGAGGAGGAGTACATCAGATAAATGGGATTATCTACAGCCTCTTCCCTGGATTTGTTGCTGTTTGGTTTGTTATTTTGTTTGGGTTTTTTTCCTGATGGCCCATCAGAGCTTAAACAACAGAAAAAACCAACCAACCAAACAAACAAAACCCCACAGAAAATCTGGAAAACCATCCTAAAAAAGGAAAGCATCTTCCTCCTTCACTGCAGCCTTCCTTGGACTCTTGAATCTTCCAGCTGTGTAACTCCTGAGTAGAGATACTCCTTGGTTAGACCTGGAAATGCAATCAGAAGGTGCATTTACTGAGGTCTAGATCTGTTTTGCTTTTTATACTGCAGCCTCAACATCTTCTTAACTGCATTTTCCTTTTTCCTAAAGCACTTTTGACAGAGCAAAGTCTTTCAGCTTAAAACTCTTCAGAAATAATCAGTCTGGCTGATGGGGTTCTGACAGACTTCCCATCTTCACCTGGCAATGCTTTCAGGATCTTGTCTCCAGAGAGATCGAGTTCATATTTTTCCCCCCCTTAAATTCTGCAGTTTCTTGATGTCTGATAGAACTTCGAGGCTACACTGGGGTTTTTCTTCAGGTCAGCAATAAAACCACATTATTTTTTTCCCTTTATGGGGTAGGCATCCCTCCAAAACACAACTCAGCCACGCAATTGGGTCTTTTTAAGGAAAGAAAAAGAGATCAGGTGAAATATTTGGTGTTCAGACCTAACTTTACATCCCAAGGCACGAAGGCCATCTGGTTCCTCCAAGTAATGAATTCAGAGCTCGTTTTCTGAGTGGTTACAACCATAGTGTTTAACTTCTGAACTAAGTACTGTCCCCTTCAGCTACTCACCTGAAGGCTCACCAGCGGAAAATTCAAGATAAAAATCACATAAGAGAACACTTTTAAATCTGGATTTATGCTGAATAAATCATTCTGTAGCCTCTTGTGGTACTTGAAAGGGGTGCAATAAGGACAGATCTGAATTGTCTTGGTATTTTTACTGCATGTTATATATTTCTTAATTAATAGTACTACCTCTTCTGCATTGTTGAAATGTATATGGGTATATATATATATGTATGTGTATGTCTTGTTTTGAATTCCTGTGTTATGTCTGCTCATGAAATAAAAGCTTTGGACTACAGAGTCTTCAGGGCTGTAATAAATATGGATGTGTAATGACATCAGATAATCCAAACAATGAAATAGCATCTTGTATTAAGATAGGAGAATAATTAGGTTTTTACCATTATGAATTTGTTTTAGACAACCTAAAAAAAAAAAATAAAAATCACTTTCTTTTTAGGTTCATAAAGCTGACAGTTTCTCAGTCTTAGTCAGTTAACTCTTCTGCAATTCAATATTCAAATTTTTGCCAGGCTTCTGTGCTGCATGAATCTGATCACAACATGACTACAGTAATAAGCCAGCAAGGTGACATCTCAAAAGATTTTTCCAACAGAATTCAAGAGCTAAAAATACATCTGATTGTTTTTGCATAAGTAGCACAACAGTTCAAATACAATCCTGCTTATTGCCAGTTCAACACTTGTCATTTCTAACCCTCCTAATCCCAGTCAAGTCAGTGTCAGGGCAGAGCTGTTCTCCCACGGGGAAGCAGGGGACTGTAATTTCTTCCCACCAAGTCCATAATTCTGTTTTTGCTCCCCCATCTGTACACAAAGAACTGGAAGTTCTGCTCTGAACCACTTTAATTGCACAGGCCTGTTTGAGCGAGTGCAGCCCATCAGCTTGGAATTAAAAGTGAGCCAACTTTTAGGTGAGTTCAGTCCCTTTCTGTTGACAATGAAGCTGTAGGTGTTAAATACAAAGTAAGCAAACATCCCCTGCTGCCCCACTGTCCTGAATGTCAGCAAACAAACTGATCGTGTCTAGGGCTACTTCTTTCTGTGTGAAATTAAAGAGAGAACTGAGCAGGCAGCTCATGGGAAAGCCACAGCAGCTTATTCACAGAGCCCTAATGTTTGGGGTTAAGTTTCCAAGGATCACCCTGTGCAGGGAGATATTTAAACAGGTTCACAGATAGATCTAAAACCAGAGAACTGGCACAAAAACAGATCAATATTCCTAGAAACGCTCCCAAGCACTTCAAACCACCCAAAGCTGCACTTGAAGATAAAACAGTTCAGGTCTCTCCTGTGTTTTCTCTCTGTTCTTTGACACACAAGATCTCTGTGTTGTAGCACAACCCTGGAATCTGAAAGTGATGGTTGCAAATCATCTGGTACAATAATAAAGACAGATAATGCCCAGGATGGATTTATCAGTAGGATTCAACCTCCTGATAGATCTGATCCAGGAGAAGCTGGGCAGCTGTTCTTCCTTCTGGTGAGGATTCCACAGGGAAATTTTAGGTGATCTTTGCTGTGCAGCCACTGGAGTCACAAGGCTGAAAAACAAGAACTGCCTCCTAAGGCTTTTCCTTCTGCTCATCGAGGTACCCAAGGCAAGCAATTAAAGAACTTCAGTGTCTCTAATCAGGCCTGGGTTTATTTAAGAAGGGACTGAACACCAGGCAAAAGGTCTTAAATTTGAGACTTCCAGTCAGCTCTTCTGCAAGACTCCAAATTTTCCTGGCACTAAGATCGCTCCCTGGAGCTGATCCCTCCAGCCTCAGTGCCCGAGGATTGGATCTGCCATTCCATGTCCCAGACCTGATCCCAGCAGCTACAACATGTTGTGTAACACAGACTTGTAGGTTCAGGGTGACAGGCATTGAGAGTGGAATCCCGAAAGCCACCGAGTAAAAAAATAACTTTGATTTGATTTTTAAGTCTCAGGGAGCTGTGTAATCACTCTGTTATTGATGGCCACCCTTTTTTTTTTTTTCCCTGCAATGCACAATATTAGCTGGAGGGGTAGGGAAAAGTCATAGCAAGACAGTGATAAATTGATACTCCTCCATGTTAAATAAGACCTACCAGAAAAAAAAAAAAGAAAGCACATTTAAATATTCCTCCTTATTCCAGTGCAGCCTAATGCCTAATCACAACCTCACATTTATGTAACACCATCCATCCCAAAGAGCTCTCCAGTGACAAGCAGGAATTCCTTTACCACTGAACTGCAGCCACGTCCAGGATGCAGAGCAGCTGCCAAGCAGGCAGAGACCACGGTGAGCATCGTCCTGGAATGAAACCAGAACGTGATCTCTGTCAGGAAAAAACAATATGTTGATTACCCAGGGAGGTTCAACTTGAAAGACACTCTTCTTACAGCCTGGAATGCAGCTCCTCTGCTCCCAGCAGGTGACAGATGGGTCACCTCTCCCGGGACACAACCTGGAGTGCCAGGCTCTGAACCTGAGGAAGAGTCCTGTGACAAGAGGCAGAAATTACTGAGCTACCCCTCATCCTCTGCTCCTCTCCCTGGTGGAGCTGGCACGCTTTTGAAAGTGAAATAAAAGGGTCATTTATTATAAAAGCACCCAATTTGGCATGAGAGGTCACTGTTCCATATTTTATTACGTTTGCAGTCTGTGTGGTTTCTGAAAGCATATCCCAAGGAACAGCCAAGTAAACAACCTTTGTGTGCTATTATTTGGATTAAGGGAGTGTCTACAGGCCGGTGTAGCACAACCACCACGGGGCTATTGTGCAAGAAACTGTGAGCACAGAGACTCAGGGCAGCTGCTGGGAAAACAAGGCAGCCAAGGGGGGTAAGGAAAGGCACCACTGGCTGTCAGAGATCAGAGGTAAAGCCTGAAGAGGAGACTCCTCAGATCCAAGACTACAAGAGACACCAAGCCAGGCCTGTTCCCGCAGCTATGGATCACTTCTTCTTATTCCAACAGGAATTTGCAAGTCTAAGAATAGTCAACTCTTGCACAGACTCCATCACAGAATCACAGAATGGTTTGGGTTGGAAGGGAACTTAAAGATCATCTCATTCCAACCCCATCATCTCATGCTTAAATCATCTCACACCTAAAAGGATCCTGCTCTGTGCCAGGGCTCCTGGATTTCTGCTGCATTATCAGGTTTTTCTCTTGCTTTGGCATACACAGAGGACATATAGCCTCTAGTCAAATACCTATAAAAAGCCTACAGAGGAAGCAGGTTATTCCAAACCTGTGCAGATACAGCATTCACAGAACAGGAGATGTGCTCTTCAATTCATGCAGGGCACAGGAACCCCCCAGAGAGCCAAGCAGGCTGCCTGCCTTGAACATCCCCACTGGAATTAACTCCAAGTTAATGCTGATGCAAAATTCCTTCTTCTCAACAGGAAACATCAACCCTGCTGTTCTCCCAACAAGCATCAGCATTCCCAAGCAGCCAGGGGGACATTTCAGCTGCTTTGCTGTCTTGTCACAGCCTGTGTGACACGAGCTCAACCAAGAGAGCAGGGCTCCCATTTTGGACAGCAACAACGGAGGGGGAAAAAAAAAATACCCAAGAGGGAACAAAGCTGGTCAAATAGAAGCCAAACAAAATCCCTGGTGCTTCGCTTCTCGTGTCATCTGAAGGCTGACAGCTTGATGTCAGTGGGTAATGCCACACGAGGGGAATTAGCACCACCAGCACTCCCTGGCACTGCCATCTGCATGTCAGTGTGGGGAGAAGCTTGTGCAGGCACAGGGAAAGCCAGACTGATTAAAAAAAAAAAAAAAAAAAAAAGACTTGATCTTCTGCCTTTCTCTGACTTACACTTATTTCCTGGAGGAAAGTGCTAATTAAAAATAACCCAGTACTGCTCCACCGTAGGTGCAGCCACACTGGGATCCTTCCCTGCTGTGCCACGGCAGAAGCTGATTAGTTCATCCCACTCCAGCATATGGCCTGCTTTGGAAGGAGAAATTTCCACTAACAGAGGAGATAACACTTGAAATACAGCTGGTTTGGGACTCTCATTCTAATTTACCCAAAGAGAAGTTGGTCGTGTGTCCACTGGGCACATCCGAGAGTTCCTGACACAAAAGCAAGCTAACAGGAATTAAATTTCAGAGAAATTCACCCAGTTTTGCCTCATCATCTGTCTGCCCCTCAGTGCCAACAGGCTGCCCAGATAGAAAAGGGGTTCCAGGACCAAGGGACAACAAGAATACAAAGCTCACCCCCTCCCCTCTTTGCCTGCACCATCCGGAGGTTTTGCAGCAGCTCTTCCTTTGCTCCCACTTTACTTGCCCTCATTTCGAGAAGTACAAGCAGATATTTGATTCTGAGACCAGCAGGGCTTCAACAAGAACAGATCTGGTCTGTGATTCCTGCTCTGCTTGCTGAACGCTCCCAGAAAGCTTCTCCAGCCGACGCTGGCAAGGGAAGAGCGAGAGGCGAATGCGACTCAAGCTGCCTCGGATGTGAGGAGTGCCAGGAGTGCCAGGCTCCCTTGGCCCACATTAAAAACACAGCAGGTGAAGCTACAGACCCAAAAAACATCTGAAGACAACGTAGGTGGGATCTGTGCCCCAACCAGGACTAGGAATGCACCTTCACAAATGGTGTAGATTAAGCAAAACCCCGTTTTAGGCTCCACTGCTGAACACAAACCCCAGGCCCTTTGAGTTACTGAATTTTTCAACCTCTTTAGAGCCATTTGCAGTGACCAAGCCACTCATTGTCTCGATTCATCTCTGTGTAAGGGGGCACAGAGCAGTAGATGGTTTTAGACCCCCAGAATACCAAAGCTGCAGTAGTTTCCTCACAGGGTGATCAACTAAACCAACACAATCAGAGAATTATTTGGCTAAAAATGCAGATGGAATGACACAGAGTCACATTTGAGGGAAGGTTGTGAAAGCTCCTGCAGATTCAGTCTAGCATCCACTCATATTTAATGAGGGCCCAAAAAGTTCGGAAAAAATTAAGCAATCTTCTCTTGTGCAAAGCCCATCACGAGACTTTCCACAATGTTGCTCCATTTTTTTTTTTTCTTGGACCCCAGGTTGGACACGAATTTTACTCTGCAGAGTGAATTTTACCCTGCTTCAAATTTTACCCAGAGCCCAAATGACTTTCTTTGTAGCTGAGAATTTAAAATTCAGATGAATGCATTTTTGCATCTCGTGTGCTACCAGAAGGCAACAATCATAAGTGGCAGGAAGCCTTTATTCAGCAGAATTATGTCCAATTTTTTTTTTTCTTTTTTAGTTCCAGT